TTAATTATACTTCTTTTTGCGCCCTCAGCATCGTTCAACCGGATCGATCGGGGAATAATTTAGCCGTTTAAATAATTTGAAACGTTCCCGATATTCAAATCGACGTCTGATCGCAAACAAATTTTATTATTGCATCCCATTAAAGAAACAGAGCTTCATTAACTCTCTGCATCGAAACTAAACGTTTAAGCTTATTTGCGAATTGCTTTTCTACAAGCTGATATTTAAAAACTGCTGATTTTAAATACTTTGTAAACACGAAACGTTGCAATCATAAATTCTCATTTATTTTTAAGTATTTATATTATAATTGTATACAGTTAATTTTGAACAAAATTGCAACGAAGTCAGTACTTTAAATTCAATGTGATATCTTGAAATTAAAAATCTTCAAATTAAAAAATATGAAACTTGAAGTATCTAAAAATTTGAATATTTCAAAAGTCTCAAAATCATAAACCTAATGACATAACTACAAAAAAATATTTAAAAATCTAAGAACACAAAAATTGCAAATTCTCAAACGTCCCATCCAGAGTTAAGCAAAAAAAGAAATTACCAAAACCCATCACAAAGTCTAAAATGGCTATCATCAAGAATAACGAATCTCCCTATTCCTATTCTTATCGAAAATAATTGCCATGATTTACCAAAGTACCCTCTAAAAAAAATACCTCATCAAAGAAAAGATTTAACCAGAAAGACATCGATAAAATCGTAGAGAAGGCAGCAGACGAAAATCTGTAAAAATCGTATTGCCAAAGGACGTCAGATCGGTGTCTCAAAACATTAGAGGATCCGTTGTAATAATATTGAAAGTCGGGATCAAAGAGATAGATCGTTATCCGAATCTGATCGATCAACGATTTCCGAATGTATTTCCTCTCAGTGCGGGAACGTTAGGAGGCGATTAACGGACGAATCGGCTGTCGTCGCCAGCGGCGGGACGATATTTTGACGAGAACCACGTTCAAGCCGTTCACCGGAAATCAAAGATCGCCTTGAGGCTTTCGAATCGAGAAACCGTGACTGCAATTTGCGCCGGAACACGGTTGTCTCTCTTTATTCCGTGTTCGACGCATAGCTGTAGGCTTGCGGCCACATTGTCACGCGTCTGCTTTCGATCAGCCTGTGTCGTCTCGTGTTTGCCGGGGGATCGACGACACTTCGGAAACGAGTAAATGAAAAATGTCGACGGGGAAATCCGCAAGATGCGATATCGAGGAGTATGGAAACGGGTCTGATTTCTCCGGGAAATGTGACAGAGACGTGTTCGAATTTTCGGTGACGGATTCGCAAATTTGGGATCCGAGAGGAGTCGACAATTTGAGGTCGAGGAGCTGACGATGTGGAAGTTCGAGATTTTGGGGGATTTGAAATTTGGGGATTTTTAGAATTTGATATGTGGGAGATTTGGAAATTTGAGGGTTGGAATTTTGAGAGTTTGGAAATTTGAGGGTTGGAAATTTGAGAGATTGGAAACTTGAGAGATTGGAAACTTGAGAGATTGGAAACTTGAGAGATTGGAAACTTGAGAGATTGGAAACTTGAGAGATTGGAAACTTGAGAGATTGGAAACTTGAGAGATTGGAAACTTGAGAGATTGGAAACTTGAGAGATTGGAAACTTGAGAGATTGGAAACTTGAGAGATTGGAAACTTGAGAGATTGGAAACTTGAGAGATTGGAAACTTGAGAGATTGGAAACTTGAGAGATTGGAAACTTGAGAGATTGGAAACTTGAGAGATTGGAAACTTGAGAGATTGGAAACTTGAGAGATTGGAAACTTGAGAGATTGGAAACTTGAGAGATTGGAAACTTGAGAGATTGGAAACTTGAGAGATTGGAAACTTGAGAGATTGGAAACTTGAGAGATTGGAAACTTGAGAGATTGGAAACTTGAGAGATTGGAAACTTGAGAGATTGGAAACTTGAGAGATTGGAAACTTGAGAGATTGGAAACTTGAGAGATTGGAAACTTGAGAGATTGGAAACTTGAGAGATTGGAAACTTGAGAGATTGGAAACTTGAGAGATTGGAAACTTGAGAGATTGGAAACTTGAGAGATTGGAAACTTGAGAGATTGGAAACTTGAGAGATTGGAAACTTGAGAGATTGGAAACTTGAGAGATTGGAAACTTGAGAGATTGGAAACTTGAGAGATTGGAAACTTGAGAGATTGGAAACTTGAGAGATTGGAAACTTGAGAGATTGGAAACTTGAGAGATTGGAAACTTGAGAGATTGGAAACTTGAGAGATTGGAAACTTGAGAGATTGGAAACTTGAGAGATTGGAAACTTGAGAGATTGGAAACTTGAGAGATTGGAAACTTGAGAGATTGGAAACTTGAGAGATTGGAAACTTGAGAGATTGGAAACTTGAGAGATTGGAAACTTGAGAGATTGGAAACTTGAGAGATTAGAAATTTGAGAGATTGGAAACTTGAGAGATTGGAAATTTGAGAGTTTGGAAACTTGAGAGATTGGAAATTCAGGACTTTCGAATTAGCAGAGTTATAGAATTTCTACATTTTAACATTTTGAGACTTGGGAATTTAGTGTTTTTGGGATTACTAGAACTATAGAACTATATGAACATTTTGGAACTTTGAAGGTGTGGAACTTTGAAATTAACAAATTTTGAGATAATGGAACTTTGGGTCTTTGAAACATTGGGACCTTTGGATTTAGTGTTCTTCGTCCTTTGATACATTGGAGAAATTTGAGAGATTGGAAACTTGAGAGATTGGAAATTTGAGAGATTGGAAACTTGAGAGATTGGAAATTTGAAAGATTGGAAATTTGAGAGATTGGAAACTTGTGAGATTGGAAATTTGAGAGATTGGAAACTTGAGAGCTTGAAAATTTGAGAGTCTGGAAATTTGAGAGATTGGAAATTTGAAAATTTGAGAATAAATTCATCAACAAAATAAAATATTTCCAATGGACACAATAAATTAAAAATTGAGCTCTCTTTTAACATCCCATCCAAATTAAATTATACTGTAATTAAATTTCACAATAATGTACCATAATAAATTATATTACCCTAATAATTACCAACACATGACTTACAAAGCACATAACATTCCACCTTTAAAATATGTGTAACACAGTTTCTTTGATAATTTGAAGCAGCTATTCAACTTGATTAACACGATTAAAAGTGCGTTTAACTTTGAACGTGCAATATTACTCGGCCAGGAATCGACGAAAAATAAACACATGATTCAGAATCAGCTTGGTCGTTTACGACACCATATTTCGATCGATACACCTGCTGATAAATTACTACAACGGCCACTGATTATTGCTTCCCATTAACGCAATAAACATATCAACCTTTTCATTATTTGTAACAGCCATTATGACATGTTTGGTACGCGGAATAAATTGACCAATGAAAATTCAATTCGATTATGCGATATCCGCTATTTCTGTTTCGCATAAAGCGTTTCAATGCTCTCCGTAATAATCCACTGATGCAGAATATCAATCGTCAGTAATTAGGACTTGATATACACGGATACAAGATTTATATACAAATTATAGCGTTGAATTTGCTGTACGATACGGTTTATCGTTTCTTCTAATAAACTTATACTTTCAACATTTATTTTTATTACACTGTTACTGAATAAATTATTATACAGTACTATATTACTCCATAAATTACTTTTTATTGCACGTTTACGCAGTGTTATATCGACAAATTATCTTTTACTGTATAATTACGCAGTCTTGTATCGATAAATCATTTTTTATTGTAAAGTTATGCAATATCGTGTAATGTAATAAATTACAGTACCGTGTAACTCGGTGAATTTCTATTAAAAAGTTATGCAATCTCGCTTTACATAACAAATTATTTTCAATTTGATATATTGGTACAATAAAAGAATGATGATAAATGAAGAAACAATAATAATTCTCGTATAAAAATATTTAATTTCGTCTGATTTTCTACTGGCAAGTAGTATGAGTCCGTATGCGGTCAGACAAGTAGCATGAGCCTGCACGTGGTCAGACAAGTAGTATAAGTCATATGTTATAAGACAAGTAGTTTGTGGTCAAACAAATATTGTAATAGGATTCCGTATTTGGTCAGACAAGTAGTATGAGCCTGTAGTGGTCAGACAAGTAGAATAAGTCATATGTTGTCAGACAACTAGTATGTGGTCAAACGAATATTGTAATACGATTCCGTATGTGGTCAGACAAGTAGTATGAGCCTGTAGTGGTCAGACAAGTAGTATGACTCCTTACGTGGTCAGACAAGTAGTATATAGTGAAACGAATATTATAATACGATTCCATATGTGGTCAGACAAGTAGTATGAGCCTGTGCGTAGCCAGACAAGTAGTATAACTCCCTCCGTGGTCAGACAAGTAGAAAACGCTCTCGAGTTTATTAAGTGCATTCATAGTTACAGTTCGCTTTTCCAACTTTCTATCACAATTACATTAAATTTATTTAACACACGAATTCTACACGCAAAATAAAGTAAAATTTTCATAAATTCTCCCCAAAAAAGATAAACAAAGTTAAAAACTTAGTTAAAAAGTAAATGCAGAGTTTCACCGTAAGCGGACGAGGTTCAATCATCCGGAAAGAAGGAGAACAAATGGCGTCGTAAAATTTTCGACAGATCCTCCGCTGTTTACAAATTCCCCGTTGCATCTTCCTTTATACGTACGGAAAGTTTCGCTGTTTCGCGTCGATAGATCACGCTTTCATTTTAATGAAGTCCCGCTTAAAGCGGAAGCTCGTCGTACTCGGCGACAATGACAACATAATTTAACAAGAATTACGGAAGATTACATCGTTTAGCTACACGCCAAGATATTTTCATAGTTAACAAGAGACAAAGCTCTGTGCAAGCTGGATAGAGAGAGAGACACGGGTTGTATAGGTACCGAAGAGGGTCGGATTTATGACCAATAAAGAAGGCTACATGCACACAAGGGTTAAACGGGCTGTTTGCAAATTTTTGTTCCAGGTCGACCCATGGTTTATCCGCCTAGTCAAACAGTGACTGCAAAGGAGGGTGAACCTTTGAATATCATCGTCAAGTTTTGCGCTAAACCGAGGTACACCAAGGTGTTCTGGATGTCGGAAGAAAACGTTTACGTACCTGGTGCGCCAGCCCGAGACGGGGTTCAAGCGATTGCTATCGAGGTACTCTTTCTATTTTATTATACATTCGAAAAATAATACTTGTTACTTTTTGGAACTTTTCAAAGTTACACGTCGATTAATGAGTTGAAATTAATAAGTTTGAAAATGAGTTTGACAAAATTGACTGAGAGGGTGATGTTAAAAAAATAATATTAATAAGAATCTTATTAAAAATTTTCAAATTTTTACATACTTCAATTTTCTAATTTATGAATTAAGTGAAGTAAACATTTAGTGACCTAAAAATTTAACAACAATGTATACAAATTTAGAAGCTTACAAGTAAAATAAAAGAGATGTGAAAATGTAGCAACCCAGAAAAGTTAGAACACAAAAATTTGGAATATTCAAATAAGACAGTTTTCAATTTTGCCATAGAAAATACAGTTACCCATCCGTTATGGTAGAATCTTGTTTTCCAGCTTGTCGTTAACGGGCTTCTTATGTTTATGGTTCAGACGAGTGTTTCCGAATACAGCTCGACTCGCTTACAACTTTGTGCAGTTATTGCTGTTTCAAATGTATCGTTTCTGAATTCAACCGTGTTTCAGAAATTCATGTATGCATTGTAAAGCGAATAGGGAAGTTATTTTACAAATTGAACGGGTACATCTGAGAAATATTCCTCGCGCGACTCTCTTCTATCAATGACGTTTATTTTATCGATATTTTCTCAGACGTTTCAGGAGAATATTAAAAGGAACCTTTAATGGCTTCAACTTTCCTAAATTTCTAAATTTCAAAAATTAAATTCTGTTCAATATTTCCATACGCGATTATGAAACACACTAAACGCGCAATTGCCCCGAAGCTCCTCAGCGGTTTAACCCATCCATATTCACCCAAATCAAAATCACCAAGGAATCATTTTCAAACACAATTATGTACCTTCTCACACCGTCGAACAGGTGAACAATTCAATAACCGCTTAAATTGAAAGTAAACTTCGAAAGCTTCTTGACAAAGCTTCTGAAATTTTAACCCCTTATATGGTCTTTCACATGTGTCTCTGACTTCTTCAATTTTGGTTCTATTCAATTTGCAGTTTAAACCAATTATAATTTCCACGATGCATACTACAAAATGACATGACATTCAAACTTCCTTTGTTTTAATATTTTAGTAATTGCTAGAGCAATGAGGTTTATATTTGTTACGTGAGTTGCCTTTGACAATGCAATTATAAATTGATGTTAAAATGAATAGTTGATGTGTCGTGACATAATATGGAACATAGTCAATACTATCAATACTATCAATATCATCAATATCATCAATATCATCACTAACATCAATATCATCAATATTATCAATATCATTAATAATATCAAGGTTATCAATATTATCAACGTTATCAATATCATCAATAATATCAATATATCAATATTATCAATAATATCAATATTATCCAAAATATCAAGGTTATCAATATCATCAATAATATCAATATCATCAATATTATCAATGTTATCAATATTGTCAATATTATCAATATTATCAAAATGATCAAAATTATCAAAATTATCAAAATTATCAATAATATCAATAATATCAAAGTTATCAATATTATCAATATCATCAATATCACCAATATCATCAATAATATCAATATCATCAATAATATCAATATCATCAATATCATCAATATTATCAATATCATCAATAATATTAATGTCATCAATATTATCAATATCACCAATAATATCGAGGTTATCAATATTATCAATGTTATCAATATCATCAGTAATATCAATAGCATCAATAATATCAATGTTATCAGTATCATCAATATTATCAATTATATAAATATTATCAATATTATCAATATCATCAATAATATCAGTATCATCGATATTATCAATGTTATCAGTATTATCAATATTATATAATCCTAACAGCACGCGACCACGTGTGGTTTTTTTTCCTCCAAAAAATTGAGATTCATCTTGATAATTTAAGTTGTACTTTTCCGTGTGAAATCCAGCGATCCTCGCATAATTAGTTCCGAGCAGCGCAGCTGACAAATAAATCACAAGGCGAGGGGTTGAAAGGAGAAATCCGAGATCCGTCATTCCGACGGGTTCCATAAATCCAGCGTTAATCACCATATTCCTGACATCGAACAATTCAACAAGTCGTCGTCTCTCGCGACTTTTATCAGAACCGTCGGCCGAAACGCGATTTCTTGTGGACGCCGTAAAAAAGTGGATCCGAAAGTCGCTGAAACACGAGGAACGCTTGTTGCATGGAAATACGAGACAGGAACGAGAAATGAAACACGATACCAGGATTCATACGCGGTATTCGCGCTTATTTCATTTTCGAGCTCGCATCGTCCTCCAGTTTACCTCCTCTTTTTTTCGCCCGTTCTGTTATCTCCTTTTTTATTTCTGTTGCGACAGACAGAGTCCGGAGACTGGATATCCGCACAAAAGACGGATTAACCGTTTTTCCGAGGAATCAGGAATAACGGTGAAACGTAGGAAAGAGAGAAGAAGAGAGAGAGAGAAAGAGACGTGGTAGGAAAGCAAAGAATCCAACGTAGCTTTAAAGGGATTTGCTAATGCATCTGTGCGCTCCGTTTGTTTTTATTAACTTTTAATCTCTTTTGTGCCGTGCCGGAACGTTCTTAATTCGTTCAACGAAAAAGAGATTGTCCTTGTTAATTTCCGCGTGGATTTTTTGCGTTTTGTTTTTGCTTGTGCTTCGCTGTACTCGTTTATCGGAGAAATTACGGATCTCATTGGAACCGTTTGAGCGTCCCTTAAGCATTTCAAGTCTGTTCGCCGGTGAACAGCTTCGCTCTGTATTATTCCCTTTTCCGCTCCCAACACGCGCGAAGTCCGCTTTGTATATTTCCAATAGAACCTCGTTTTCTACACTCAACATTAATCACGATTTTTACGCTGTTAAGTCGGACGAGTGACTCGAAAACATCTACTCTTCCTTTTTTATACTTTGCTTACAGTTAATTACTGTGTACGGTGTTCATTCTGGATGCTCGAGATTTAGGAAATTTCGGAGATTTATGATTTTAGATATATGAGTAGTATGAGCCTGTTCATGGTCAGACAAGTAGTATGTGGTCAGGCAAGTAGTATAAGCCTGCACGTGGTCAGCCAAGTAGTATGTGGTCAGACAAGTAGTATGAGCCTGTACATGGTAAGACAAGTAGTATGTGGTCAGGCAAGTAGTATAAGCCTTACATGGTCAGCCAAGTAGTATGTGGTCAGGCAAGTAGTATAAGCCTGTACATGGTCAGCCAAGTAGTATGTCGTCAGACAAGTAGTATGAGCCTGTACATGGTCAGACAAGTAGTATGTGGTCAGACAAGTAGTATAAACCTGTACGTGGTCAGCCAAATAGTATGTGGTCAGACAAGTAGTATGAGTCTGTACGGGGTCAAACAAGTAGTACGAGTCCGTATCTGGTAAGACAAGTAGTTTAAGCATGTAGTCAGACAAATAGAAAACGCTCTCGAGTTTATAAAAAGTATTCATAGCTACAGTTCGCTTTTTTCACTTTCACTTATAATCACATCGAATTTATTTAAATTTTCACAAAAAGTGTTCCCTCCTAATTTTGATAAAACCTCTATAAAATCAACTAAAAATCGAACGAGCAAAATGAAACGTTCACATCATAAATAAAAAGAAATTAGTGTGTTAAGGTGTTCTTTCTGGATGTTCGAGATTTATGAAAATTTATGAGAATTTAAAAAACGTGCAAAATTAAAAATTTTTGAATTTGAAAATTTAAAAATCGAACTTCAAAGTTCGAGTAGAACTTCAGAAGCTGAAAAATTGTTGAATACATGAATTTTTTAAGTTCCAAAAAATTGATCTTCATAGCTAAATAATGCAAAAGCAGATTGATAAACTAAACTGTTAACAGGTACCTAAAGTACACTTATTAACATGTTTATATAGTTTTTAACAAGCCGAGCTTGAGATTTTAATTATTAAAGTGCGGTAAAATATTTCACTACCTAATTTATAAAGTAGCGTCGTGAAATATTTAGCTGGAGAAAACTGGGGCTTAGGTTGTCTTAAGTTTAGCACAGAATAACCGTGCAAATTTAATCGCAAAGAAGTACTGCTATAAAAATGGAACTAAGACGGGATTAAAACAACATTCTGCATTATAAATCTCTTCCATATTACCCTAAATATTTAGAAGGTACAATTAATATTCAAATAGGTGTAATATTTCCACAACGAGTTTATGCATCTGCACGGGTGAATTTCTTTTCATTACGGGAAACTAACTGTTTTATTATGAAGATAATTATTTTATTACGAGAATTTGAAGTACTTTGAAACAATGTTAAGAGTTTAAGAAAATTGAGAATTTTGAAATTTGGAAAGTTTTTAATTGCGATAGTTGAATTTAAATAGTCGAAATTTACAAATTTTCAAGTTTGATTAGTTTGCATATTTGAATAATTCGCTTGCTTTGCAAGTTGGAAACTTGGAACCTGAGACTTGCAAATATGTAAATAGTTGCACATTTTAGAATTTGCTTATTTACAAATTTAAGTAGTCGGACATTTTGCAAGTTCGAAGTGAAAACATTTCTTAAATGTCCACTCCACATGTGACATATTCACTCCACATGTGACCTGACTCCACATGTCCAATAATAATTACTACTGCTACTATAATCATCACTACTGCTGTGACACACATTTTCCTACACATCTGTTCACGCGCTGGGTAAAATATTAATTATTTATAGCTGATTTCGAAGGTTGTAAATCTTCGTCGACCCATGGCGTTTCCACAACTTGTTACGGTAGTGGAATTATATGTAGAGTTAGTATTATAGAGTAGAATTGATAGAGTGGCTCAGAGTCCTCCACACTGGTGTGCCCAGGTCAATGAAGGATGTAGATCATCATCCCACTAGTTGTAATGATTGTTGTGTGTT